AGAATAAGATCATCCCCATCATTTTCTGTACATTATGGTAATGACATAATTCCAGTGTGTAATGAAGCTAAATTTCTAGGAATCATTCTAGATTCCAAATTAACTGGCTTATCACATTGCTATTATGTATCAGCTCGATGTGAAAAATTATTAAACATTTTAAGATGCCTATCTGGTGTTTGGTGGGGAGCTCATCCATCAACACAAAAATTAATATATAATGCTATTATCAGAAGTATCCTTGATTATGGAAATTGCTTTCTGGAGCCCTGTAGTGCATTAGCACTAAGTAAGTTAGATGGCATCCAGTCTAAAGCTCTTCACATTGTAACTGGCGCCATGAAGTCAAACCCTATTAATGCACTGCAGGTTGAATGTGTGGATCCTCCTTTAAAACTAAGGAGACAATTTTTATGTGATAAATTTCTATTTAGAGCTCTTCAACTTTCTGACCACCCTCTTTTTAACAAGTTACACCATTTATTGCGTAAAATTAATAATTCGGCATATTGGAATAACAAGTCGCTTCCTTGCTTGGTAATCAGCTACATTAAATTTACTTCACTGCTAGCACCCACCCACCGATCACAATATCTTCCCATTTTTTCTATTAATTATGAAGCTCTTGCCATTTCACCCAAAGTAATTTATCTAGACTCTTTACGTAATGATAAAAATGCTAATATTAATCTAATGAGTATTATTTATACAGAATGGCCAGACTGGCATTACATTTACTGTGACGCATCTAAACATACATCTACTGGGATAGTTGGAATCGGTGTTTACCACCAACAGTATAAAATAACACAGAAAATTAAATTACCCCCAGAAACCTCAGTATACACAGGAGAATGTTATGGAATCCTTAAATCATTAGAATACATTTTGCTTGCACAACTCAAAAAGACAATTATTTTTTCCGATTCCAAAAGCACTTTACAGGCAATAGAAAAATTTCCTTTTAAAGCTTCTTCTTCTAACGCCTACTTGATCGATTGTAGGAAATTATTACTGAATTGTACTTTGAAGAATCTAAATGTGCTCTTTGCGTGGATACCTGGCCATCATAACATCATAGGCAATGAAGTAGCTGATAAACTCGCTAAAGATTCAGTGAATTGTGGTGACGTCTTTCCCTATAAAAATTTAGTAAATGATCTTGTTTTACTTCCTAAAGTACATTAACGCATATTTTGGGAAGAAATTGGGATACTAGTAGTCGCATCAAAGGTAAACATTATAAATTAATTCAACAATGCATTCCCGATAAACCATGGTTTTCTAAAATTCATTTAAGTAAGTTTGCCACATCAAGTCTCATAAGAATGCGCCTAGGTCATAACTGTTCTTCTTCCCACCTGGCTAAACTGGGCATAGTAAATAATAATATTTGTGCTTGTGGTACTGGAGCAGAAGACTTAAATCACATCTTCTTCGAGTGCCCCCTCAATGATTCCGCCTCTTTTATGGATTCATTAATATCTCTTAATGTACCTCTCCGTACTTCTATTCCTTCCTTATTGTATTATAAAAATTATAATATATATAACAAGCTATCTGAATTCCTAACTAAACATAATATAAAATTATAAATAATTTATAACAAATAATGTAATGTATTTTATATACTTAAATAGACCTATTATTTACGTTTCAAATTATTTTATGTACCTACCTGATCCTAATCCTTCCAAATTCCGTTTCACAACCATTTTGTTTCATATCCTATTTACAAAATAAAAAATAAGTCACCCCCATCACCTGAAATATATTTCTAATATTTTTTTGACAGAGCAGAAAAGTTGCGGGTTATTTAGTATTTTAAATATGGTCATTTGTAAAATATAATACAGATTTTCCTGATACATGGTTTTTACTTGTATTTGCTTTTACATACTCATTATTTAATTCAATTAAATTTTTGTTGATTATGGCTGCGTCTCATTACGTGACGATTCTGCCATAGTCTGGGTTAAAGGAGACAAGGTATATGTTGAGCCTGTACGGTTTTTTGATGTTGTGCAGCTCACAGAGTGAATGATCGCGTACTTTGATTTTGGACAGAAAAACTGGAGCACGGGGCCCAGACTCATGCGAATGATGGTAGATATTATAGATTTGAGAATATGCTTAAGGCGGAAGATCCAAGGTTTTGATGGGATGTCTGGTCGTAAGCTGCCATAGTGTTTTTACCCTTCGTTTGGTAAGATTGTTGGTAAATTTCATTCCATCTTTCTAGCATCACTGTTTTAGCCATATGTCTACTCATTATGAAAGTCGTCGTCAGTCGTCCGTCATAGGCTTGTTGAAAATATATCGATGTATCGATATTTTTTGTTCGATATATCGATATATTTTGATTCGATATATCGATACAAAATAACCAATATCGAAATTCGTATCAAAAACGATATTTTTTTAATTACTAGCGGCATATCACGATCTAACTAAATTAGTATCTGGAAAAATCGTAACTGGATCTCAGATTAATGATATTCAACATATCTATGATCTGTGCTGTATTTAGTATTGTCTATTATTTGTAAATCTGTTTCGCTGGTGAATTGGTTGTGCTGATTTCCATTATATTCTGTGGAAGTGTGTAACTGTCTAGTCTTGTTTACGAAAGATGGCAGCTGAGAGGCCATGCAATCATTTTCATCATTCGGAAATAGGGTCTATTTTTAGATAATTTTCGTTCCATTATTATTCCGCGTGTCATATTTCGTGAGATACTGTAGTGCCATGTAGTGTAGCGGCAATTTGGTACTTTGATGATTCTTTCTTTAATTATAATTTGTATTGAACTATTATTACTGTTACTAGGCTGACCTAAATATATTTTTGAGAAAATTGGTCCGATATATTGATGTTTTTTTCGCGATATATCGAAGCCGATATTGATATTTTTTTAAATATCGACGTATCGATATTTTTTCAACTTTCGACATCCCTAGTCCGTCACAAAATAAGCCCGTTTTGACATTTGTTGATTATTGTCATCGTGGCGTAACTAGTGATGGTACCATACGACTCGGTGTACGATACTTACGATAAACTTGTTTTCAGAGTCTGAATCTGAGTATACTCTGGCCGTACCCAGTTTGGGAGTAGGGGCTCGTGACGTCACTATGATCATATGAGTGTCGTCTAATGACTATCTTTGTTGATTTGTTATGGCTATGGGATGACTGAATAGGCATACATTTGGTTTTTTGCAGGTTTAATAATATTCCGTTAACATGTGCCCAGCGGGCAATATTATCAAAGTCCCCCTGTATTTCTTTTTGCACAACATATAGGGTCAGTTCGCCTGTTCGCGTCCATTTAGTGCAGTTGGAAAGTTTGACGGCGATAATAAAAATATCCCAGCACTAATTTCTATGAAAAAAATATGTAATGTGTTCATTATATAGTCTATTTTAAGATTAGCTTTCAGTTTTGTTCGAAACATCTATTGTTTTTTTATTTAAATAGATAAACTTCGGAATAAGGCGTTTAACCCACTTTGCGTCCACAAAATCCACATTGCGTCCACCCGTGGACCATTTAGCGTCCACCACCTTAGAAAAGGAATATAGGGGTGATATTTTTAAGAATTTGTATAGAAAGATTGTACCTATTTTAACAATTTCTTTATTTTAGAATATAAATATTAAAACCAACATTATTATCATTAAAATTATCACTTTAAAAAAATAAAAAATATTCTTCTCAATACTGATTGAATTTAAAATTATATAAGTAGTAGATAAATAATGATTGCATATTTAAAAATAAACAGTAATCAGTTCTGTTAATTTTACCCTAAAATCACAAGCTATGTTTTTCTCATCGTCGTCTTCTACATCTGAAATTAGTATATCGTCACATTAAGAAAATTTTCTTTCTTAAATTCCTGATTTACTGTGTGACTTCTTGAAGGGCATGTATCTTCTTCTTTCGTTTTGGAGCAGTTTTGCGAACCGTTTGAGAGTGTTTTAAACTCTGTTCTTGTTTCTCTATTCGTTCTAACTTTCTTTTTCGCATTGCTTCCTGCTTTTCATTGTTGATCTGCTCTTTATCTTCTTAATAATTACTCCATGCAGCAGAAGATATGGTTGCTAGAGTTCTTTGATTATCTTTTCGTGCTTTGTTAGAAATTTCGGGTAGCATCAGGTGGTGTCTGGTCCCGGTTTCTTTACTTCATTTGGTCTGCGCCCACTGATTATGTACAATATGTCTATGTGTCTTACCGATTTATTCTTTTCTCGAATTTCATTTAACGCTTTCTTTAAATCGTCTTTTGTGTATCTTTTCCTTCTACTTTCTTGTCTCCGAAAAACTCATCTCAAATAGAAGAAAAATAAGAATGAAACAAATAAAGATTTAATTGATTGATTGATTGAAATTACTCATTTCATTTATAAATAGCATTAAAAACACGTAGTCTTAACAAAAATATATAATAATAATAATCAATACCTATATTTTAAATTATAATTAATTAATTGTATTTAACGAAAATAGTGGACGCAATTTGGTTTATTATTATCCCTTGTAGGTATAGTTTGCGTCCATTGCGGACGCAAATTGGAAGTTTTGTAATTTCGATGTAGTAATACGCGTCCACCTTATTTTATTCATTAAATATAAAAAACATAACAAAATTTATAATTAATATCATTCCTTTCTTCACTATAAAAGTCTAGAAACAGCTATGTATCCTAAAATTAACATAAAAAAATAAAAAACTTACCTAACTGCACACTATTTTTTATCTAAACATCCCGCGTGTACGCACTCCCTTGATGAATATCCGAGACTATTTTTTTTTTAACGGAATTGTTTGGCGCACCTACCTTTTGACCATGTGTTCGTGTCTCATAAATATTAAGGTATTAGCGGTAATTACTTTTCGTTTGATTGGTGTGTTAGTTTTCTTATTTTTGAGGATTTTTTAAGGGAGATCCGTAAAATGGACGCGAATTGGGCGATGGACGCGAACAGGCGAACTGAAGTTCCTATAGTCAAGTATCGGGCTGTTCAGTTGATCATGATCCGCGTGACTCGATGCATGCAAACGTATGAAACCGCTAAAAATGGATGAGGGTGGCCGTGTGTTATCAACTTAACACTTGTCATCTGAACTCGTTTGACGCGCAAGTATCTCAACTTAGCCTAATACAGTCTTGTGAAAAACCCGCCAAGCCACACAGTTTAGTGGTTTACCTGAAAAGACTCCCGAGCGTAGCACAACCATTTATCAAAATAGATTCAATAAAAAAAAGATGATTAGTCATAAAATTTATTATTTACACCGTAGGCGTAAGCGTTAACAAGCTGATTGAGCTTTGATCTTAAACTAAATTATTATGTAACAATTAATTGTACTAAGTGGTAATAACCAAATAGGTACACCACAATTACTATTATTATTCAGTAATTATAAAAAATATGAAAAACTTGCCTTCAAAAAAAGATTATAAAAACTCATTATTTTTTGCAAAACAAGATTTTAAACAATCTTATTATATTTTAACATAATTTGATGCATATAAATAATTTTGAAATTTTATACACCCACTTCATACAATTGAATCGTAAAATACTACATACTTTTTATTTAAACTAGCACAGGCAATGGCCTTGGTAAAAGATTTTTTATGTAATTCACAATTCTAGGAAATTTTATTCTTTGTACAGAGTTTAAAAGTTATGTACAAAAACAAAATTTACAAACATTTTGTCACTAAATATTTATGTCTTCATAAAAAATAGCAAGCTTAAACCAAAACAAGGTTTATTTGTCATGAATTGGAAAAAACATTATCAGTAATATTAAAACATTACTGGGGCCTCACAAGCTTGCATTCAACTTTCACCATATCATCACCTTTCACTAACTCAACCTTTAAAATGGAAAATACTTCAATAGTTTGTTTTATTTCTGTCAGGTGTTCTGCTGGTTTCCAAGTTAGTTCCATTTTTGAAAGTCTTGCACCAGCTTCATTTTTGATGCATTTATATTCTCCTGGGAAGACCTAAAAATATATAATAACTCCTAATCAATCAGGAACTAATCAAAGTTATCTTACAATAAATAAAAATATCATTAAAACATACATTATTAAGAAAAATTCTTCTGTTCAACCCCATGGCAACAATTATAGCATCAATGTATTTCTCTCTGACTTCAACTACCACAGCTTCTGTAATAACCGGAGAATTCAGTTCTATATACTTTAACATATACAACTCTGTTGACATTTCCCCAGCTTTTTTTGCATTATATTTTTGCTTATTGCACTGTGCAGCAATCATGCGCACTTTATCAACTTCCCAGTCTGGTGTATCTCTGAAGTTTATGCTTGCTGCTAATAATCTGAAATTAAAGAAATATTGCTTAAAGCAAACACTCTGAAATCCAGTAATAAGGACGACGACTAAAATTTTATTCTATGGATTTACCTGTGAACCATAATATCAGCATATCTCCGTATTGGGCTAGTAAAATGGGTGTAAAGTGGGACATTCAGTGCATAATGGTGAAAATCATCATCATAACCATGAGCACAAAAATATTTAGCTCTGGCCATTGGCTTTGCACACAACATATTTAAGACCATGGCTCTGCCCCTGTCTTCTGAGGTAATATATTGCATTAGTGAACTGTGGAGATCTCCAGCTGATGATATGTCTAAGTTTATGCCCATAGGCTGCAATGATTTGACTAGCTGTTTCAACATAAAGCCGCTAGGAGGCGGGTGACATCTGAGAAATGCTAAGTTTGGATGATCATCATGTATTCTTTTTGCTACTGTCATATTTGCTAATAACATAAATTCTTCAATAAGTTGATGACTTTCTTTATTTTCATAGAGCCAAAAAGATTCAGGTAAGCCATTATTAGCATTCAATTGAAACGAAACCTTTGGTTGATCGATTCTTAGAGCTCCACCATCAAATCTTTTTTTACGGAAAATGGCAGTAATTTTTCCAAGAATTTTTATAACCTTATAAATATCTTTGTATGCAAATCCATTATAAGTTTCTGGAAATATTGATTCTGCATCTTCTCTATCTTCAAGTACAGCTTGGGCATGGTCATAAGCTAATTGACAACATGAATGAATAACAGTTTTGGCAAACCTATGGTTTAGTACTTCAGCATCATCATTGATTTCCCAGAACACAGAGAAGGCTAATTTATCAACACCCGGAAATAAAGAGCAAAGCATGCAAAGGTCATCAGGCAACATGTGATATGCTTTTTCAACCAGATAAATTGTTGTAGCTTTATCAGCTACCTTTTCATCAAGTAGTGTATTTTCAGTCAAAAAGTGAGCAACATCAGAAATATGAACACCTACTTCATAATTGCCATTTTCCAGTGGTCTACATGAAACTGCATCATCAATATCTCTACAATTCGGAGGATCAATGCTAAATAGACACAATTGTCGGCAGTCTTCTCTTTTTTGGATTTCATCTAAAGGAATAGAAAAATCAAGACGTGGGTATAAATGTCTAACTTCAGAGCCAAATGGTGTAACATCTAGATCATTTTGAGCTAAAATAGCTCTAGTTTCAGTAATCATATCACCTGATTGACCAATATTGCATATGATTTTACCCACTGCAAACCTTGTATCATACCATTCCTCAATTTTAGCTAAAAATAATGTATTTTCATACTTCTTGTAATCCTGATAAAAATTATCAGGCCAACATGTAAATGGTATATTAAGTCTTGGAATTCTATGATCACGAGGAACAAAAAGAGCTTTTTGTCTATTTTTATCAGCCATTAGCTTCAAATTACCGATACAAGTACGATTATGAACTTTTTCTTTAATGTAGACTACTTTCCCTTTCTTTTGTTTATTACCATCATTGCCATCATCATTGTCATTGTCATCAATAAATTTTACTATCACTACATCTCCTTCTAAAGCTCTGTTGCGATTTTTCATTCCATCTATAAGTATGTCCTGTTCGCTGCGGTCACTACTTGAAACATATGAGTGTTGGAATTGTTTTGGATTAATTCGCAATACACCCTCAACTAGAGTATTTGCTTTCAAACCTGATTCAACTTCACTATCAGAAATGTATTGCTCAAACTTTTTTTCGTCAGCAGATTGCTCTTTCTTTTTATTTTTCTTTTTATCCCTTGGTGAATTATGTTCTTGTGATGTTTCAGAGTAAAATCTTCTATGCCTATAATTTACATGGTTATGATTTTGAAATGAGAGTGTCTTACTTAATAATGGATGTTGCATAACATTTTGTAAAAATTTTGGTGAATTGGGTTCCGATTGGACAATAGGCAAATTATGGTTTGAACTATGTGGCCTGTTATACATAGTATTATATATTTCTGGTGTGTTTGGAACGCTTGATGATAATGGCATATTATTATAATTTAGAAACTGAAACTGTGGATGATTACTTAGATTCTCTAAAAACCTGGAACTGGTAGCTGCATACATTGGTGTAATGCACTTTGTAAAATATTCTTGAATTGACATCACCTCATTTAATGCAGCAAAATTGGAGCTATTTTGGGTTACTTTAACATTATCTGGTGTTTGCAATGGTATGCGTTTTTCGTTTGTTGCAGAACAATTTGAGCTATTTTGAGTTTGTGTAACTTGAACATGATCTGCTGTGTGCAAAGACAGGCTTTTCAATCTCTCTTTCTTCCTAGCATTTTTTCTTTTCGGGATTACCCGATTGTCTCCTTGATTTACTTCATTTCTTACACTACCTAAATTTAAATTTTGACATTGAACAGAGATTTCGCTTACAGTGTTAGATTTTGTTTCACTTCTAATCTTGCTCTCATCTTGCTGCTGTCTGGTCGTTTCCGAATTAATCGGTGGTTTTTTAGACGGAGAAAGCTGGTTATCTTTGATGGTACTATTTACGGTACTCTTTGATCGCAGTGGATGCGACGTGGACAAAGGAGAAGCAGATGGTCCATCGATTTCTAAATTTCTTTCAGACAAGCTATCATTAATGTTAGACTGCATATCGAGCAAATTATAATGCACTCATTGTATTAAAACAATAAATTTTGTAGCGAGAAATTACAAAAATAAAATCAAGTTCTATACACACACAACCAGAGACAACAAAATTGATATGACATGTTTTTTTTTTGTTGAAGTTCTCCCGTTTTAGGGAAGGCAAAGGGAACAATGCCCATACAGCCTGTCTTTAATTAAATTAATCTTCTTTTTGTTTTTACATTAGAATGTCGGTGTGACGCATTCTAATGTTTCTTGGAGTGTTTGGCACGAAATGTATCGAGTTGGCTTTTTCGATAAGTTTCTGTGAGGTAGTCAACACTACAATAAAATTCTCACGTCCACTTGACCGGAATAGCGTATATTTTAACGATTCCACTAATTCTTCAGTTACGCAGACAGTTGTTACACAAAACCACACCAATTTTATTTCACAATATCCACTATGAACGAATTTAAGAATAATTAAAATAAGACGCCAACCGCACTCGATGAAATCCCGCCAAAAAACTCGATATGACATGACACCAGCAGTGTTGCCACCTTGGATTTTTTTAAGGCGCCAAGTCAAAGGTAAAATGTCGCCAGATTTCAAAAATTTAGATTTAATAAAATACACTAAAATCCGCTAAATTATAATTACACCTCAGACAACAAAAACCCTAATTCAAATAAAAAAACCAGTGAATATGTATGAAATCCTACAGAAACAACTGTATCCCGCAGTCGTTCTAAATTAGTAAAATTTAGTTATTTGAAAAAAATGGCAATATTGTTTTTATTAACTTATAACTTTTCCGAGCGTTACCTTAGTAGTACTAGAGAATGAAATAAAACCAGGTAAATATGTATTTACATTCATTCTTTATAATAAAGAAATAAAAATCGATATCGTTTGATTGCCGGATAGAATTTGCATTGTTTGTTTGTACTTTTTTGTTTCAGCATGTCTTCTCAAATTTACTACTGTTGCTAATAATTCTGCTTTACAAAATAAGAAACGTTTGTTTCTATCAAATCAAACTTTTACACTTTTCAACAACACAATGAATGTGAACCTAATTTCTTAAACAGAATGAACGATTAAAGGAAGCCCTTAACAGACAAACGCGTGTAGGAATTCCCCTGTCACATAGTAAGCATAGAACATTATGATATTCTGGAAAGTTAGGGGTTTTCCCCCTTAAAAATATGTTGCTAGATTTCATGTTAAAAAACCACTACAAAACACTAAAAGAATATACCCGCCAGATCATGAAAATATACCACTAGAAGCCGTGAAAAAGCACCAGTTCTGGTGGAAAAACCGCCAAGGTTTTTAAAAATCGGGACTCGGGAGGCGTTATAGAAAAAAGCAATAGATGTATGGAAAGGGGTACAAGAAAAAACAGTAGATGCAAAGGTGTACCTTTTTCGATTTTCCCCCTCCCTCCCCTCCCCCCAAGAATTGGTTAATCAAATCAAGATATACGCCAGTAACGAATGTGATTCTGTGGCTTATGCTACCCCTCAAAGCTCGTTTTTTTTAGACAATAACATTTATTAACCTACATTATTAATGGCGGAAAATGCAATTTAAAAAAACGAGCGAGCCTTATAGTAGTCGCGTATGATGTGTAACATTTGAAACCTCACCATATATTAGTCAAAAAAAAACCTACTACAAAAGGAATAAGCCATTTGAAAATTATGTTCTAAAATGAAATCAAATAGCGCGCGCTTTCGCCAGTTCCTGTTACACACTTCCGTCGCATTTCACGAAATCACTCCCACAAATTACAGGAAAGCGAGAGGAAAGATGTTACACATCAAAAACAAAATCGTATTCTAAAGGCTACCATTCACAGGCGCGCCCATCCGCCGGATTTGTCGCTGGCGACAAGTCCCTTATAGCTCTTTTTTGCAAGATAAATATAGTTTCAATATCGGCTGCTGATCCCCAGAGAATAATACCATAGGATACAATACTATGAAAGTAACTAAAGTATACAGTTCTAGCAGTAGCTACATCAGTAAGTTGTCTTATTTTACGTATGGCATAGGCTGCTGAACTAAGTTTACCAGCTAGCAGAGAAATATGAGGATACCATTGCAATTTCGAGTCTGTGGTTGACTCAACTAAATCTAGGTTTTCATTGTTTAATTTAATTCTAATGGTTTCGCTTCTAACATTAGGTAAGGTGAATTTAATGCATTTGGTTTTATTTGCATTTAATTTTAAGTTATTTACATTAAACCAGTGCAATACTTGTGAGAGAGCATTATTTACATCGTCAAAGTTATTCTTGTATCGGTCAACCTTAAATAATAAAGAAGTATCATCAGCAAACAATACGATCTCACACAATTTTTCCACAAAAAATGGCAAATCGTTTATGTACAATAAAAATAGAAACGGACCTAAAATCGATCCCTGGGGAACGCCCATTTTCACATAAGATCCAGATGACTTAACACCATTTACCTCTACAGTTTGAACTCTGGAACTGAGATACGATAGTAGCAAGTTTTGGGCTGCGCCTTTGATTCCATAGTGATTTAATTTTAACACCAGCGTCTGGTGCTCAACGCAGTCAAACGCCTTGGATAAGTCACAGAATACCCCAAGAACATTCTGCGACTTCTCCCAGGCTATCATTATATGTCTAATAAGTGCAACACCCGCATCCGTTGTTGATCTACCCCTAGTAAAGCCAAATTGATTATTATGTAACAGTTTGTTCAAACTGACATGCGATAATAATTGATCTAAAATATTTTTTTCGAAAATTTTACTTAATACCGGTAATATTGATAGTTCTAGCTCAAGCTATTACGGCGCTAGAATTTTAGATATTGTAGATGAAAATTACTTTTGTATTTTAAACTCTGGCGATCCGACTAGACGCACACAGCCTAATGAAGGCATAAGCGCCCCGGATTTAACTATCTCCACCCCCAATTTAGCTTCTTTCTTTTCATGGAGCACGCTTTCCTCCACTTTCGGCAGTGACCACTTCCCCATATTAATATCATTCCCTAAAACAGTTTTAAAATCGCGTCCTATACGTTCACCTAGACTGAAACATAGAATTAACAATGACAGTGACAGCTGGGAGAAGTTTAGGGAGCTAGTTGCGCAAAAAGTATCATCTCTTCCCGCCGTTCAGCTTAATGATCAAACAATGTGCGCTTTGACCATTGACCACATTTGACATGTGATTCGATCTTTCTGCGTAAACAATCTAATAGAAATATTCCCTCACCGCCTTGGTGGGATTCTGAATGCACAGCAGCAATAAAGCGTAGAAAAGTAGCTGGAAAAAAAATTATAATAACAGTACAAATGACAATTTTGACAAACTTTCGCAAATAATAAATGAAACTCGTAAACTACTAAAGAAAAAAAAATGGGTGCGTGTACTTATGTAGGCGCGTGAGAAGTTATCCTTCTTTGGCATCGTTTAAAATTAGTTTTTAATTGCATGCAAATAATTAATTACAATAAATTAATAAAAAGTCTGGAAAAGGACACAGTCAATAAAGTTCAGTTTTAATTTGAAAAAATAAATAAATAATCAAAATATTAAATTAAAATCGCTACTGAATATAATTTATTAGAACATATGTGATTTGCACTTGTATGAAACTCAAAAACGTAATCCGAATATACAAACTAGAAACATGTGGATAAATATTATAAATATGAATACCTATAACTGTTACTTTATTACAAAAAATAAAGATGTGGTTTTTGGTTCTACTACACCAATGGTCAAGAGATGGCGCTGTAGTCTCCTGAATCGCGCTTTGGTTCCGTTGTTCCAGATTAATAAATACTTTTGATAGGCCTTCACAATGCAGTCGTTAGCACCCACTAAATAGAGATTCTATTTCTATTTTGTTGGTAGATTTTCTTAATGTGCGGTAAACACAACAGTAACGCATGAAGTTGGGTTACAGTGATGCGCGCGCATCTTAAAGTTTCATTCTCATAATTTTTTCATAACGCGCCTAAAGAAGTATAACTTCAAAAATGGGATGGTTGGAAGGCGTTTTGTTCTTCTTTGGCCCCTGATATTTCCCCATCTGCTATTTGGACTAATATTCGAAGATTTAGATGGGCGTTCAGAGAACCAGCTCAGAAGTTCATAAATGAGGAAGTGGCTGATAAATTCCTCGATAAATTAGCTCCCCCTTTTGTTTCCCCGGATAATACACCTTTATTCAAATCTATTGACAATTTATCTCATGACCACGGCCTCAACTCTCCTTTCAACCTAACTGAACTAAAATGTGTTTTGTCCTATGTAAAAGATTCTGCCCCTGGGAGTGATAGAATCCCCTATTCATTCATATCCCACTTAAGTGACGACAGTGTTATTTACTTATTACAAGTGATCAACTCTATTATGGTTAATAACGAAATTCCTATATCATGGAAAACTCAGGAATTAATTCCCTTATTGAAACATAATAAACCTCCTGCAGATCCAAATTCATATAGACCTATAGCTCTGGCTTCAGTTCTTTCTAAAATAGCAGAACACTTTTTTTTCTTTTTTTTTAATCAACTGTATAAAAATACATCTGCACCTGAACTAGGAGACCTGTATCTCAGGTGCAGCGCTCTTTATAAAAAATACAAGCTGTTTTATTACTCAACGCATACAGACATTATTTCTAGAGAAGTAACAAAATAATAAGTTTAAAGTGTAGCGAGTGAAACCTCTCATAGTGAATATAGTGAATATGAGTGTGTGTGTGTGGAGAGGTTGTGTAAAATTAATATATTTATTATCAGAAATGGAATCATCAACAGTAAATCTACATTTTCTTCAAAAATAATTCAGTATCGTTATAACTTAAAGTTTTAAGCCATTCAACTATTGAATACTTGACACTATAGAAAGGGAGATGATAAATTGATTTTATTTTATTTACTTTATTATAAAGAAAGGGTCCTAAAAAGTTAAAGAATTTTTGACCAAAACAGTGTTTGGTTAAAAATGATGAACAAACAGTAAAATTCCTACGTTTAGTTAATACATTGGCATCAAATTTTAAAAGTGAGTGTTGCTTAAGGATCAACTGTAATATAAAAAGCTGTCTTACAGTTAATACATCAAAATCCTT